GTCAGCTACATGAATCCTTTTTCTCCATTGCGGCCTTTTTTTATATTATTTATATTAAAATAATATAAAATTTTTAATATTATTTCAAAAACTAAAATGATGCCTGAGGAGTGGAAGAAGAGTATTTTGGTTCCCATTTATAAGAGTAAAGGGAATGCACATGAGTTTTGCAAATTATTAAGAAATTAAGTTAATTTGTCATACTTTAAATTTATGGGAGAGAGTAATTGAACTCAGGTTAAGACGTGATGCAAAGATTTCTCATAATTAGTTTAGATTTATGTTGGACAAGTTTATTATGGAAGCTATACATTTATTGAGAGTTTTGTTGGAGAATTACATGGAGAGTAAGGAGGATATACATGATTTTTATTGATTTAAAAAAAGCTTTTGGTAAGATTTCAAGAGAATTTCTTTGTAGGGTTCTAGAAAAAAATGTGTTGATATGATTATGTTAAAGTCATTAAAGATATGTATACTAGAGCTGTTACTTGTGTTCGAATAGGAGGATTGACCAAGCATTTTTCTATTTCAGTTGGATTACATCAGGATTGACTTCAAGTCCATATCGTTTTGTTTTAGTTGTGGATGCCCTTACTGGACATAAAACTAAGTTAAAGTGTTGTTGAGATGAGAATGCATGGGAGGATGAGTGGCTTTACAGTTAGGGATAAAAAACGAAGTGAATATAGCCGTGAAAGAGTTGGTCTTGCTCCAGTGATAGACAATATTAGAGAGAGTAGTCTTAGATGGTTATTCACATTAAACGTCAACCATCAGATGATCCGGTTAGAAGAGTAGATGTTTTAGATTCAACTTATGTTAAGAAAGGCAGAGGCAAACCTAAAAATATTTGGGTATGTATAAAAAAGGATTTTAATTTATTAGAATTAAATAAAAATATGACACTCAATAGGATAGAATGGAGAAAAAAGGATTCATGTGGGCAACCCAACTTAGGGGGATAAAGGCTTTTTGTTGTAGTTGAACCAACAAAAGTAGTTTCTTTGTCTCATTCCTTAATCCTCTAACGTGCATAAATGTAGTTATAGTTTGAGATTATCACAACCAGGATATTTGTGTTAGCCAAGGATGCATCATAAGTAAATCATTTCTTATTGTTTTAGTCATCTAAATCACTAGAACCATCACTTGTCCCACTATTTATAATCTCGTTGCCATCTCTAGTTAGATTTACTTGAGTGTCATCCCTAGCATGATCGAGTTCTCTTGAACTGCTACAATGAATTGGTTTAACACAAGAACATTGCACTGGGATCCAAATAACTATTAGTTGCACATTGCAACTCCGCATTGCTAGAGAAGAATATATTCTTGGTTAATTAATTAGAAATTTGGCTTGTGCATGTTGAATTTAAATTAATAGTTAAGCCATAAAAAGTTGTCTTCTTCTCATTTCTCAGTCGTCCAACATGCATGAATGTAGTTATTGTTTGATATTATAGCATCCAATATATTTATGCTAACCGAAGAATGCTCATTAACTGATCATATCCCTTGTTTTAGTCACGCATATGTCTATTGATGCGTCCAACTTAATTTTAAGCTTGTTATCACTAGAATTAGCACTTTTCACACTATCTATCATCTTGTTCCATCTCTAATTAGATTTTTTTGACTGTCATCCCTAGCATGATTGACTTCTCTTGAACTACGGTAATGAATTGTTTCAACATAAGAACGTCGTGTTGGGATGCAAATAGAATTCAATTTGGCTTCAAAAATTTTTTTTTCTTATTTGATTATTAGGGTGAAGCAATTTGCAAAAGGTACTTATGTCACACTAATAAGTTTGAAAATTCATGAGATTTAATGCAGAAAAATCTTGATAGTTATGTGCTTTATTCTCCGTGGAAGGTTTCCATTCTCTCATAAATTATGAGAAACTGTTTGGGGCTCTCTAACAGAACAAATTTTGTACTCTCTTCGTCACGAATAAGTGTAACAACAAATCTTTCATCAATAAGAAACCTGCTTATCAAATTAGCAATAGTTGTTGCAGGATCGATATTTAAGGCAAATATTACTTTGCGATGTAGCTAATCAAAATATAATTTAATAGGAACGCAAAGTGATTGGTGGCGACATCTGACAAATAGTTTGGGCCAAAATCATCTGCTAACATCAGCCCCCCATAATATAATAACATCCTGATTAAAAAAAAATTACTTATATTGATAATACAGTTTGAGCAAAAAAAAAAAAGAAGTCGGACAATTAGATATTTGAGGAAAATTGACTAATTGTTTGTAAATTATTTTGATAACAAGACTTTTAACTATATCTAAGAAATTCACCTAACATTATTTATTGTTAATCTCGAGCAGGTCCAAGGTTATTAGATTAAATGGGAAGGGAGAAGAAAGCGCTCATAAAATTAACTTATAGTGTTTACATAAGATTTTGTGATTACAAGAGGGCATACAAAATTTTCAGTTAGAAAATGGTTAAATAATTGACTTTAAACAGCGTATTTAATTTATTTTTACTAAAACAATAATTGAAATAACTGGTTGAGAAGCTCATTTGAATACAATACAAATATTGATAGAAACTTTATATGAGCTTTAAAGAAAATCAGAACCTAAAATTACCGAATTAAGTGCATAAATACAGGTAAAGAACGACAAGAATGAGGCACATATTATTTATGTGTTTTGACTTTTGACACTATTTAGACACTATTTTAATCTTTTTTAGGGAAAAAAATTAATAAATATCTATTATAATTTATATTTATATTTAAATTACTTATTTTTTCCTTAATCTTTTCTTATAAATTTGATTTTTTTTATTTTTAATAATTCTCTTTAGTTTTACATATTATTAAGAAGCGTGTTAAAAATACATTTTGTTTATATTTTTATAATTTTTCTTTTTAAATTTTAAGTTGCGATGTTAATTAATGATTAAAAATTTGAAGTTTAGTTATATTAATACATATTAATCACTTCATAGAATAAGAAGAAACTTTAGTATACTAAACAAGTGTAAATTATTGATAAACTAAATAATATAATAAGTTTGTGTAATTTATTAAAACAATATTATATAAATGATATTTGATTTATTCTTCATTGAAAATAAACTAGCTTGCTAATTAATTTATTACTAACTAATTAATAACTTATTAGTATAACTAAATTTATTATAACTGATAAGCTATAAAAATAGAAATAAAAAAAATTGGCATTTTTGCCGGTTGAACTGTATTAATCTTATTTACGCTGCTAATTCTATTACAAAAATGCTGGTGTAGGATTTATTTTATGTTCCCATTTTATGCAAGAACTTAATATTATAGTGTATTGCTTTCTTACTTAATGGTATAGTCTATGTTCTAGAGTAGTTTCTTATACACTGCATTGTTGTAGTCTACCTTCAAAAGAAATGTTTATTTGCTATAATATTTACTAGGACTCTAAAAAAACTTAATTGAATTCAATCTTATACTATTTTAAGCTTGTTTATTTATTTTCTTTATCATTTAATAATTGTGCATTAATGGAGCCTAGCTAAATATATAGAATATAGTAATAATATAATATTATTCTTGATCATGATGGATTCAAGGTTTTTCATAAAAGTGGCACTAATTTACTCAATATTATTGTTAATATTTCTAAGGTTCAAATGCTAATAAAACATATAATTAAATTTAAGCAAACCATCTAATGATTGGGTCAATGTAAAATTATATATTTGGTAATATACACCATTTAGAGTGTACTAGACAAAATAAAATTAATATAATAGTATAAAAAGTCATTTAATAAGTAACTAAATTAATATTTAATGAATATTTTATCAAGTTATTCGTAAAAAAAAACTTAGTTGAATTCAACTTAATAGTCTATGTTCTAGAGTAGTTTCTTATACACTGCATTGTTGTAGTCTACCTTCAAAAGAAATGTTTAATTGCTAGGATATTTAATAGGACTCTAAAAAAAATTAGTTGAATTCAATATTATACTATTTAAGCTTGTTTATTTATTTTCCTTATCATTTAATAATTGTGCATTAATGGAGCCTAGCTAAATATGTAGAATATAGTAATAATATAATATTATTCTTGATCATGATGGATTCAAGGTTTTTCATAAAAGTGGCACTAATTTACTCAATATTATTGTTAATATTTCTAAGGTTCAAATGCTAATAAAACATATAATTAAATTTAAGCAAACCATCTAATGATTGGGTCAATTTAAAATTATATATTTGGTAATATACATCATTTAGAGTGTATTAGACAAAATAAAATTAATATAATAATATAAAAAATCATTTAATAAGAAACTAAATTAATATTTAATGAAAATTTTATCAAGTTATTCGTTAAAAAACAATTATATTAATAGATATAAATGTTTTAAGACAATGTTCAGGCTTTTTAGTTTACATTTCTATCTTCTAAAATTTTGCTTGGTTATATAAATAAACAAACATGAATGACCTTTATATGAATGATTTTCAAATTATCCTAAATTTTTGCTATGAACAATTTTCATCAAATTACACTATAATGCATTTTTTTGATTGACTACCTTAAATTTATGTTTTCCAATATTTTTTTGCAATATTGTATTAGATGCTATGGGGATTTTCTTAAAATACTTGACCCATTCCCTCACCTCCCCTCTCCCAAAAGCTTTTTTTTTTCTCTTTCTACCTTCTGCACGATGGTGAATTTATGTGCGCGCTTATCTGCCTGAGTTCATCATACACATCTATCAAATTAAGCAGAACAAATTGTTGCATATTTTTCTTTTTTGGCAGTTCTGATTGTTTTGTTTTGTTTAAAAGAACTATTACAAGCCATGACCCTTTCCTTCATTGTTTAGAGTGTTTTCTAGATCAGAAGCATTATTCATGTTAGTAGGATTTTTTTTTTTGTTTTTCATTGGATGTAGTAGTGCATTTAGTTTTTTTCTCTAGGTTTTTTTTTTCATCTTCTTTTTTACTTCCACATTTTGCAGATGGAGCCTGTTCCAAGTGGCAACCTGCCCCCTGGTTTTGATCCATCTACTTGCCGCAGTGTGTGAGTGTTTTGAAGTAGCTCTTTTTTCTAATAGTCCCCCCCTTTTTTTTTGTTCAGATGTGGACTGTCGGTCAAGCATTTCCAATGAAAGTTTGTTTTTTTTTTAATTTTGTTTATGTCTGAAAGTAATATATTCTAGAGGACGCAATGGAGAAAAAGGATTCATGTAGCTGACCCCTAGTGGGATTAAGGCTTTGTTGTTGTTGTTGTTGTCTGAAAGTAATATATTCTTTTCATTTAAAGTAATGTATTATTTCGTTCTAGGCTGGGGTTAATAAATAGTATGAAAATTGTGCTGGCTATTCCTGCATGCTTCCTTTTTTTTTTTCATTTTGCTTATGATTTTCTGATCGCTTGATGATAACTAGGTTTGTAGGCAATATCCATCCCCAGGTCACAGAAGCCCTTCTTGCAGAAGTTTTCCAGAGTATGGGTCCACTTGAAGGATGCAAACTCATTCGAAAAGAAAAGGTTCTCTATGAATTTTATTTATCTGTTTAGTGGTAGTTTTGTATGCCTGAGCAAATGGTAGCCATGGTGTTTGTCAAGCATTCTAACCTATACATTCTTTAATTAGAGCTCAACTTTCTCAGATACCTGGTTACAAGCAATACTTGTTCTTAGTTTTGAATCTTCGTATGATTGTGAGACACTTCTAAACCATTGTGTTTTATCTATACAAATCGAATGCTTTTATTAGGTTAATAATTGAAGACACTATTGCACAATTTTTTTTTAACTTCATTGATATATATTATTTTAGAAAGCTCAATTTGATGTGTAGGCACTTGTTTATATCGGTATGATGATGCTTGTGTGATACATCATAGTTCTCTCGCTCTCTCATATCTTGTTCTTTTAGTAAGTGTACATCTGAAAAGAGCACACATAACCTTGTAAATTGTTTCGTAAAATTAATGATAACCATAATTTTCATGAAAATTTTGAACCTAAATTTATTTTTTATTTGGTTCTTATTATATTTCCCTATCAATTAAGTGTTTATATTTAGGATTTAAATACTAGATTTATTACCGCTTGCCAATCCATTTTATATTTATTTTCTCGATTTGCTTTTAACAAACAATCTTAAAGAAACCCAAGAAAATTATAAAGAATATTCATTAACATTAACCTAAAAATTTGGTATTATCGTTGGGACTTCCTGCTTTCATTCACGTTGAGTCTTACATGATCCATTTTGTACCAATCTTTCTAAAGAAGTTCTAACGGTGTCACATTTTGATTCTTTTTTTTTCCCTAATCCTATCATATTAATTTTAAGTACCTGCCTTATTGTTTTAACTTAACGCCCCTTTTAACTCCATTATCAATGATCAAACTACTTAATTATATCTTTTACTAGTTATCTTTAATATCTTTTACTTTCATCCCCTCATAATATAATTAATTTTTACTCTATCCTACTTTAGGAATTATTCTACATTCATTCATGTTGAATTTTTTCTAATCTTTGCTGTACGAAGTTTTTCTGTATGATTTTGCCATGCTACATTTGGTCTACCCTTTTTTTTCATAATTATATATTTAATTTCTTATAATGTCTTTATTTTTTCTGCTTCCACCTATTTTGAATTAAAAAACTACTTAGGTATACTTTTTACTAGTTATCTTTAATATGTGTTATACTTCCCTACTTTCGTAAAATCATTTTTCATGCAATCCTTCCTTGTTTTAACACATTCATCTTAATATTCTCTTTTTCACTACACTTAAGCTAACTATCAATGACCTCTGTGCCACTTAACTTTTGAATCTTCATTTTATGTTTAGTATAGTTCTAGTTTGATAAATTTATCTTTATATTTTCATAATATTCTCTAATTTTATATTTTTCCTTACACGTTTTCTATTTTAACAGCCTATTTTAGAACTTGCGTCTTCATTGATGTGTACATTATTCTCTATAATAGATCCATGGCTTTTAAATCTATCACTTGTAAGCTTTATTTGATTTTTCAACAATAGTGAATGGAAATTATTTATTCCAAGTCATTAAAATTGCTTAGCATGCTCTCTAATTGTTTTTTTCTATTAATTCTACGATGCTGATTAGAAGAGATCTAACTTGCCAGAATTATCGTCATCATTAAAAGACTATCAAGGTTATGCATCATTTTGAATATCATTTGTAAGCATTTTAAAGACTAATATAAAAGGATATGAACTTAATGATGATTGTAAAACTTTTTCATAACTATACAATTAGTTTTAATGCTAGTAATTTGCGTCATGTATGTCTTCACTAATTGGAAAAATATTTACAAACCCAAGACTTATTCATTTAAGTATTCTTTAAAAAAATATTCTTGTTAAGATTATTGAGGATTCATATGGAATTTAAGTTTGAGTGATTTATCTTTACTCTGCACTTATATAAAAACTTAGTAAGGGTGCTGCCTTATCTTTCAAGAATTTTGAATGTTAATTTGTTATTTTCATACTGCTAAAATTATGTCATAAATTCAATCTAATGATTGGCTTGTTTTTTCATTAATTATATTTTAATTGTAAACAAGATATATAGGCTGGCTTTTAGACGTGTACAGTGATGGTACTATTTCCTGTTATTCTACGAACTTTGCAAATTTATCATTTGCGTTTCTAATAACAAGGCTTTACTAAAACATCACAATTGCTCTGACAGTCTTCTTATGGGTTTGTTGATTATCATGATCGGAGATCAGCATCCCTTGCAATTATGACTTTGAATGGACGTCTTCTGTCAGTAACCCAAACTGTCTCTAGTTTTGTGGCTTTATTATTTTCTTTTTCCTGTTTCATTGAGCAACTCGCATCTGTCTGTTGCAGATATGGTTTGTCAATTAAGGTGAATTGGGCTTATGCAAGCGGTCAACGAGAAGATACATCTGGTGACTCGTTATCTTCTGCTGTGTTATGAATTTTTTTATTGGTTTTTGTCCCATGGCTGTGGTTGCTCTCAGGATTTTCCTGATCTTTTTTGTGTTTGTCAGGGCACTCCCATGTTTTTGTCGGTGATCTTGGCTCGGAGGTCACTGATTCAATGCTTTTCAATCATTTTCAAGTTTATCCCAGTTGCTCGTATGTTTCATAGATCTGTCTGCTAATATTTTCTTGCATTTTAAAAATTTAACCTGATGAATTGCCATTTAATTGCAGTATTAAATATCCTATATTTGTCTTTTGTGACTGTCAGGGATGCACGTGTGATGTGGGATAACAAAACTGGGCGTTCTAGAGGATATGGTTTCGTTTCTTTCCGCAACAAACAGGTATTTTATCCTTATTTGATGAAAGGTGCAACTGGCAAGCTGAATGGTTATCTTTGTTGGTTGAAGTGAGTTTGAAGGTCATTAGTTTTTTGTTGCAGATTAATTAGCTTTTAAAATTGACCAATTTCATGGAGAATTTGTCAAAATCTAAGTGGATTATATACTATTTCTTTGTATAATCTGCTATGTTCAGGCATGAAGTAAATATAATAATTAAATTTATGGTCCAATTGTTATTTTAGTCGCAGCCAAGCGATTGCTATCACGCTGTAGGCTGTTCCATGGTGTTTAACTACTAGCCTTAAGCCCCCAGAGGTTTTCCAAGCTAAAATTGGACATGAGGGCAATGTAATTTTGGTTAGTGATGGTGATGGTTTATGTTTGATTTCCATTCATTTGATGTGTAGAAAATGCTCCTTGAATATGGATAATGAGGCAAACTATGCGTTATTTAGATCATTTTGGGTTATATTTGTGTGGTGGGTTCATAAGGTCTGGGTAGAATTTGGAAATATGGATTTAATTTATTTGACTTTGAAGTAAACTGATTTTCTAGTCTTAGTCCTCTTTATTGCCTCCATCCCCAGGCCCACCACACACACCCCACAAAAAATTCTCTCCCCTTTGGAACGGCACCCATTGATATTATAGGATGTATTTGCTAACTCAAACTCACACAACTCTTTGTGAATGCCATACTATGGTTGTCATTCTTGTCCCTCTCTCTTCCTCTCTCTCTTTTTCTTGCTCTATCATCTTTGAAGCAAATCTCTTTTCATCATTTTTAATTTGATTTTTTTTTTAATACCTTTTTCAGGAAGCTCAGAACGCTATTAATGAAATGTCAGGTAACAGAATTTAGCTAGATTTTTTTCTCTTCAATTGAACTTTTCAGTTATTGTAGTATTTTTACTACAGGTAAATGGCTTGGTAATCGGCAAATAAGATGTAACTGGGCAACCAAGAATTCTGGCGAGGAAAAGCAGGGTAGCGATAATCAAAATGACTTGGCATTAACAAATGGTATTTCTAGCAATTGTACGTGGCAAAATTCATATAGAAAATGTGGCTGGTTACATATAAAAGGTTCAGATAAATATGCTAATTATGCTTTTGCTTATGATGTTTTGTATCTATAAGTGGGAGCTCAGGAGAATTCAAATGATGATGCTCCAGAGAACAATCTTGCATACACTACTGTATATATTGGGAACCTTGCACATGAGGTTTGTTCTCTAGTAAATCAGTAGATTCATCTTTAGCTAATGATTTACTGATTTTATGGCTGATGGTTGTTTCAGGTGACACAAGCTGAACTTCATCGCCAATTCCACAATCTTGGAGTTGGTGTTATTGAAGAAGTACGCATTCAGAGAGACAAGGGATTTGGATTTGTGAGGTTTCATTCCCATAATGAAGCTGCTGCAGCCATTATGATGGCAAATGGAAAGATCGTTTGTGGGAAGTCCATAAAGGTAACTCTCATTTTCTAAACTCGACAAATTCATTTCATTGCACAATCTTTTGAAAACACAGCACAATGTGAATTTTTGGAACTTTAGGTGTTGTATATCACTTTACTTTCAAATTCAATTAATAAGGAGTAAAGGGTCAAAATAGTCCCCTAAATTTTTACATGGAGCCATTTTAGTTCCAGAGTCTAAAAGCGACAAGTTAATACCCAAACTCTCTAAGTTGGAAGCTGAAATTTCAGCTCATATTAATAGAGTATGGGGGCTAAATTGGTATTTTATAGACTTTGGGACTAAATTGATCCCCTTGCAATTAGTTAGGAGACCATTTTGTCCCACTTCTCAATTAATAAGTATTCATCGATAACTAAATGAAAGATTTCTTGCTAGTGTTCTTGGGGAAACAAGCCCACCCCACCCGGCACGACTTCAAACCCGCTGCCGCCTCCAGGTCCTCCTTTCCAACTCTTGGGGGCTCATGGATACTCAGATGCAGATCTTCTGGCGTACCAGCGGCAGCTCGCCATAAGCCAGGCGACCGCAGTACCTTTGGCTGCACAGCATAGCCTTGCCGCCGCCCAATCATCAACAGGCCTCGTACCTGGCGGGTCTCAGACCGTCTATGATGGCTATCCAAGCCACACATCCTCTCAGCAGCTGATGTACTACAGTTAAGAGGCCTGCATCTGACTGATACTTAAAATGGATTTTATCACTTTGTTGACAACATTCTGGACTTCTGGGTTTTGTGATTTTTACTTTATTGGTGGAGGGATGTTGATCTTATTTTCTTTTATTGACTTGTCTTGTTCTTCTTGCGGTTTTGGATCTCCAGTTTTATTAGACTTTTGTTCAAGTCTGATTTCCTTTACTGGAGTTTCATTCTGCCTTTTTAGTTTTTGGCACCTTTTTCAAATTTTCTATTTTTCTACTTTGGCTGAGTTCTTTATGGATGGTGGTTCTAAATATGTTAAAAGTTTTGAGATATTTAAACGAGACTTCATAGGACTCGGGTTCCCTCTTGGCTTGTTCAAATAATAAGCTTAGAATGGTAGTTCTTAGCTAATTTTAACTAACTTTTTTATTCATGTTATGAACTCCTTCACACATGTAGTGAATATTTCACTAGAAAATTTTTTATTCATGCTTTTAATAAAAATAAAATTTGAAGTGCTGCAAATTTTGTCCAATTGGTTCAGTGAGGGTGATTATGCAGTTCGTAAGTAAGATGAAGTTAAACTCGTAAATATTGAAATGTCTTTTGGTGTATCTAGGACTATAATGGAGTCGATTTCAGCATGTCACAGATTTGACTTGGCATGATCAGATTATAAGTAGTTCACTTTTGGTACAAGCTTGAACCATATTTTCACATTTATACTCATATTTAACTTGCTCATATTTTTTAATGATCGTGTTTGATTTGTATTTGAGTTATGTTAAAAATTAAAATGAACATTTAATTTCTTATAAAAAACTTTTGAAATTCAATTTTTACTTAATTTATATATAAAATTAATAAATAAGCTTAAAATTTGAACCGGTATTTGAATTTTTATATTAAATTATCAAATATAAACAAATAAGCAATTGAATAAATTTTAGATTAACATCTAATTAGTTTTTATAAAATAAGTAAAATAATGTATAAATTTTAAATATAATTTTTTTATGTACTAACTATCCCTTTAAAATAAAAAATATGAGAGAACATTTCATTGAATTTATGTACATAATAATCTTAAATTATAATATTTTTGTTTAAATTAAAATTGAGTCGCACTAGATATTTATTAAGAAATTAAAAAAAAGGTTAGATATTATTACCAGATTTTATGGTGAAGGTATTTCAAAGTCATGTAGATTTAGTTCGAAATAAGTAAGCATACAGCCACACAATAAGAAATTATTAGCATTTAAGCACCACATAATTCGTATGTATTTAGATATCTAACCTCTAAACTTTCATATTTACAATTATAACACTAAAAAATTTAACATCATATAAAAAATACATATTTTCATGATACCAGCGTTTTGAGTGTAAAACTCAACCTTAAAAGTGCTAGATATGTAAAAACATAAGAATTATGTGGCATGCATGTAAATTTCCCAATTTATAATGCACTCAACTCAAATTAAATTTATTGCAGGTATTGAAGATATCTTGGTTTCTCACTGGCACGGCAATTAGAATCACATAAGAAGGAACTTAAAAACATCGCCATAATCACTATTTTTAAATCAATATATTTTCAACATATGAGAGTTAATTATTAAATATAAAATTCGAAAATAAAGAAAATATTAAGAGAACTGAAGAAAGAAAATGCACTAATTAGAGCTAAAATACTGAAATTACAACTTTATACTTTATAAAACTAAAAAAAAATAAAAATTGCAAACTTAAGTCTCAAACATAAATAAATAAATAAAGCAAAGATAACATAGGCATAAATTTTGCAAAAAGAAAGGCTCAAATTTGCTCAACACATCATGCAACTCTTAATATGGCTGGATAAAGATTAAGAATTAAGAAAAAAAACCTCAAATAATTGGCATAAGACTAGTAATGAAAATAATGAAGCTTACAATATAAAATGAAAATTCATTAATTAAAAAGGAAGAAGCTTGATATAGTAACAGATGGCAGAGCAAAATAGAACAAAAGTTAATTATGTTGATCATTGAGACTCAAATCTGTTTTAAAAGTGTTTGAAGAGAAGAAAGTAATAAGGAAATGATGAAGGAATTGAAAATTGAAATTACACTTTCTTGCCTTGTTTTGTTGAAAAAAATTGAATAAAAAAGATTTTTCCTTTTTTAGTTTGTTTGACAAGAAATTGAGGTTATGTTTCTAGCGAGTGGAAAACTGCTAATGATAAAAAAAAGCATTTGTTAGGATATTTTAGATAAATCTAATTTCCTTTTAGTTCATTTATATCATACAACTATTATAAAATATAGAAGGTAAGAAATCATATATAGAATAGTGAAAAAGATGCTATGGAAGCCAAAGGCTATAGTTAGTTCGAAAAAATTGGGCAAAATGCAAAACATGAATCCTAAGCCACTCTGATCTGGCGCACCAAGTTGGCTAACCGAACATCCATTGCCCCAACTGGCGCCGCACTCACCCATTGCTGATCAACCCCTATCAAGCCACTCCCACCCCCGCCTTGGCAACTTAAAAATTAAAACAATTAATTTAATATGTCAATTTTCTTTTCTTTTCAAAATAAAATGAAAAAATAAAATAAAAAGTGAAGAATAATTCCAAGTTTTGCTAGAACACTCATGTTGGTTGAAAACAATTTGAATCTTTATGGGCTTAGTCTCATTCAAGCAAAAAATGAGGCTCACAGTAACTGACTAAAATTGATGTGTTTGTAAATGCAAAGTAGCTTCTCAATTTTGAAATTTTAATTTTGAATGCTTGCTTAATATGAAAAAGTATGCTAAAATTTAACTTGGTCAAACCAATTGTATATAAGATATCAAGAATAGTTATGAGCAATCAAGCTCAAACAATGTTCAAATTTAAAACAATTGATGCATTGATGTCTAATTTATAATTCATTATGGTTTCAAGAAACTTAACATCACTATGTCATGCTGCAAGGAGTTTTCTTTTGTGGGTTTAAATCTTCATAATTAATTAATTATCTCAACCATAAGAGAGAAATTTGAGTTACATATTTTGATTGGTATCTTGACTCATGCTATAATAGTGGCAGATCCTACTCAAATCTCATGATTTTGATTTTATCTATTGGGGCAAATTTTATTCCATTACTTGAGATTTCCACCATAGGAAATAGATAAAGAGTGTATACTATGAGTAAATAAATTAGATCCCATGAAAATTAATCTCCAATAGCAATGAAATAAAAGGGGCACATTCAATCAAAGAGAAGTTTATAATGAGGAATTAAAAATAATAATCTAGGGATGGCAAAGATATTAGGTGGTCGGCCTCACCACTAAAATAAGTCTAGTGATAAACAAAGATACCATGAGCAATAATATCGCCCTCGCTAGAGATGGGAAAGTAAAAATAATGCAACTCGCATAAAATTCTCATAATTTTATCCAAGAAAGATTCTACCAAAACCAATTATTCACACTAAGGTTTGAAATATCAAGAGGCTGGTGCAAAGAGACCTCTGGATATATTGAATTACAATTATTTCTCCTTCCAACATCTCTGTTATTCATTCCATCAGCACTCCATAGAGAAGTGTCAAAACAAATAAACTTCTGGATTTTGAAAATGAAAGCATTAATGTTAATAATGATTCTAGAAACAGGATTAGCTCATTCCTCATGCTTTCTTTGGTTCCTCTCAATCTAAAGAAACCAACAACATATACAAGGAATAGAATTTATCAATTTATTCAAAGAAGAATCCCCTTCCCAGCAAGCTAAACAATGGATAAAAGAAATATACCCAAGTCTAGGTAAAAAAAAGCACAAACTGAGCACACGTCTTATTCCATATAACTAAAGAATACTTGCAAGAAAAGAAAGTATGCACAAATGTTTCCTCATACTATCTGCATAGAAGACAAATAGAAGTCATTTTAAGCACCTTACGTTTAAGTATATCATCCATAGGCAAAAACATAAATTTCATTCTCCATGCCAAAAACGACTGAGAAGGCTTTAAGAACCTATTCCATATGAGATTCCCATTTTGCTGATTATGACAATAATATAACCCTTTAGCAATACTTTTGGTAACCGAATGATTACCCACAAATTTACATTTAAGCACATCCTTCTTACTTGTATCAAATGGAATTATAACCACATAATCCACCATCTCCTTATTCAAAACCAGATTAAGTTTGCCCATATACCAGCTGTCATGATTCAAAAAATCAGAAACAGTAACATTGCTAGCCATCATATCATCGTAAATAGCATACAAAGGGCCTTTAATGGTCCAATCATCCCTCCAGAAATTAACTTTTTCCTCGCCCAAATCCCACACAAACATCTCTACAGCTTTATTTCCTACATTAAGCAATTCTTTCCATATCAGAGAATCACCAATCCTTGGAACACAATCCAAAGGATATGATAATTTACAATATCTTTTATGCATAAATTTAGCCCAAAGTCCATTATTTTCTCTCAATTTAATCCAGAGTTTACAGAAATTTATCTCCCTAGATTGCTTGAAAGGTCTAAAGCCAAAACCAAACTTTTTTTTTGGTCTACATAGTCTGTCCCAATCAGCCCAATGCACACCTTGACCATGCCCAAACCACAGAAACATATTAAAAATTCTGCCCAATTTAACTTGCACACTTTTAGTCATCATAGTGACTTGAAAAACATAAAGAGGAAGAGAAGTAAAGACACCTTGTAGAAGAGTAATTCTTCTACCAAAAGAAAGAAATGAATTCTGCCAGCTCAAAATACGGCTATTTATCTTATGTATCACAACAGCAAAGAGAAGATTTTTCTTTCTAGCTATTTAGCTGAATGCCCAAATATTTGATAGGAAGTTTAGTCTCCTTGAAACCAGTATATCTACCAATCCAAAGTTTCCTTTCAGTTGAGACCCATTTGCTTGCATAATATTCACATTTAAGCATATAAAATTGCATACCCGACACCTTCTCAAAATGCAACATAATTTTAAAAATATGTTTGATATTATTTTTAGCCGTATTGCAAAAAAGTAATATAATCATCAACATAAGCTAAATGAGAAATAAGCTCCCCACCTTTAGCTTTATATCTCCCACCATTATAAGCCTCCATATAGTTATTCAACTTTCTGGAAAGATAGTCCAAAGCAATAATAAATAAAGTTGGTGATAAAGGATCACCTTGCTTTAAACCCCTATCGGATTTGAAATGCCCATGAATCCTCCCATTAGTGAGAATAGAATAATAATTATTATCTAAAAGCATCAAGATAATATTGCAGAAATCCTCATTAAAGCCTCTCTGTGGAAGCACCTTGATAATAAAATTCCAACTTATACTATTATAAGCTTTCAGTTCAATTTAATAATATCATTACCACCACTACACTGTTTATCAATGTTCGTGATAAGTTTTTGTGCTATCAAAATGTATTCAATCATACTTCTACCAGATATAAAAAGTTGTTTGTTGAGGAGATACTAAACTATCCAACACAGGCTTAAGCCTATTAACAATTATCTTGCTGATGACTTTAAAAATCACAATTGCTAGAATGATGGGTCTAAAAATTATCCCATTTATGATTAAACATTTCCTTAGGAATAAGAGTAATTGTAGAGCACCTGAAATATTTATGAGAAAGAAGCACATGAAGGAACTGTTGAATAGAATATCCCAAGATTTGATATAGAATGCAGAAGTAAAGCCATTCGGACCAGCTACTCTGTTAGAATCAATAGCCTTTAAAGTTTCAAAAATATCACCCTCTGTCAGCTGAGAAGAAAAATCAGGAAAGTCATGGAACTCAACAACATTAAGAAACAAATCAGCTTCAAAAATAGAGAGATCTGCCTCTCTTTCTTTAAAAAGTTCACTAAAAAAGTTAACAACACTCAATGCAATATCATCTTGTGAAAATAACCAATTCCCTGAATCATCCTTTATCTTAAGAATAGTATTTGACTCCTTCGCTTTTTAATGCAAGCATGAAATAATTTAGTATTTCTATCACCCTCCACACTAATTTGTAATGTAGACTTTTGTTTTAAGGAAATCCACTTGAACTTGAATTGCCTGATTAAGAAATTGTTGCGCATTCAACATTTCAGCCTCCTCCACAAACCCTTTCTCAAGGTCAACCTTTAAATTATTAACCAACAATTCAACATTTACCGCATTTTTATTTACATCTCCAAACATATTCCACTTCCACTCCTTCAACGTTTTTGTCATTTTCTTATGTAATAACCATAAATCTAACCACAGGGAGTTATTTCCAACCACCCAACTGTCTTTCACAACTTGTAGAAAATTTTTATGTTCAACCCAAACATTAAGAAATCTAAAATAAGAAACACCAACCTTAGTAAATTCCTCCACCCTTAATAATAGAGGTGAATGATCCGAGCCAGTACAATTTAAGTGAGATACCTTAGAAACAATAAATTTGTCCATCCATTCTTTATTCAACAGAATGCAATCCAATATTTCCATTACTATCCCTCTTTGCCAATTAAATATATACTACCAGTAGTCTTAACCTCATATAAGCCCGCATCAATAATGTTATTTTTTAAAAGGCTCCATCACTATATAACAAAGAGCTCTTCCATCCTTCTTTTCAACAGAAAAAGAAATAACATCTCCTACTAACCAAGGACAATAAACAGCAGCTTTTACCAAATTCAAATCCTCCCATAAAAGAGCTCTATCCACCGCTGAACCCCGCGTAAACAATAGATAACTGTACAATCTGTTGATTAAAATGAATATGAACATGTAGAAACTAAAGATTATCAACCAACAAATTCACTTTGATTTCCTTCTTCTACAAAAACAATATTTTATAATTGCAATTATAAATAACTTTATAACAACCCAACTTTTTAACCATCTTGTTAATATTCTCCACATGTACCATAGGTTTTAAAATTGCAAAACATCATAAGTTAAGAATCTTGGGCGGATTCATTTATCTCTTAGAGGCTTCACTCTTAGCAATTGTCCCTAACAATCCAAATGAGAAACTTAATCATTATAAAAGGATGTACTCCTAGTAATCATAGAAGGAGCCCCATCATTAAGGGCCTGTTTGGTTGGGCGACTTCCCTGCGGCGCGGCACCGCCTCGCATATGTTGGATTTTTTTTCGCGTTTGTTTCGGCGGGCCTGCCGCCGCTTTTCGCGGTACCGAGCAAAAGCCGAGCAGCCAGATAAGAGTTGCTGCCTAGCTTTTCGAACTCATTTTTTACCCACTTGCCCCTTTGCCCTAGAACGCGAGATTTTAGAGAGGCCGCGAGCTTCGTCCCTTCCCGTCCTCGACTCTGGCCGGTGCCCGTTCCTGTGCATCTCCTTTCCTCATCTTCTCTTCCTTTTCTCGTGATCTACTCACAACAAGGGTATGCAATATATTTCCCATCTTCTATCCTGTTCTCGTAAGAGTTTCCTTAGATTTGGAAGTTGGTTTTATCGCATATGTTAGATTAATTTGGAATGTCTTATGAGGTTATGCTTGTTGTTCGATCATGAAAAAGATTAGTCTGTGATCCTATTTTAGCTATCCTGTTAGATTTGGGGTTATGCTGGAAGGAATATTTGTGATTCCTCTGTGCTTCCAGTTAAATTATCTTTTACTTTTTGGTTCCTCTGTGAAGCTGCCCTTGCGGTGTTTCGGTTATGCACGATTTTGTTGAGTGCTCCGGATCCAGATTATCTGTAATTCCAAAAAAAAAATGCTTTTTAATGTTTATATTGGAAGGGTTTAGGGTTCAATCCCGTGTTGCATCTTTGTGATTAATGTGATAGCTCAAAAATTAACATCATGGTTATTGGTAATGGAGGAAATGGCAAAATGGATGTATTTTCGTTTATCACCACCTGTTTCTTTATCTGTTATTGTTAGGTGTTTTATGTCGTTGACTAAAAATAGTGGATTGCTAGTGGTAGCTTGTTTTGGTATATGACTACTTGTTTCATTATCATGAGGATTGATAATGGAGGTACTGACAAATTTGGATTGATGTTTCCACATAGAAGTAGATATCCATTGAAGAATATTTCTTATTAGCTCCCTATTTCTTTAGAAGTAAATATCCGAGTGGGGAATATTTCTCTCAAGCTATCAAAAAATATCCTAAAGATTGAACATTTTGAAATAAAAGTTGATGGTATGTTGGGGGCAATGTGTTGATCCCCTTTAGCTTTTTCGTGGAGCTACATGGAAAACATTAGTTTACTTGGGGCAAATGGAAGAAAAAAAAAGTGATGGTATGGTGTGTAGTGAAATTGGATTGTATGAATGAAAGTTCGAAAACATTTGCTTTTAAGTTCTTTCATTTTTTTTATTATGTGAAGTCATAAAATGTTGTCTGTAAGCTATATGTGTTAACTTTTATTTCTAATAAAGAGCTCTGATTCTTTCCCCGTGGATGTAGGTCAATTCAACCGAACCACTTTAATTGTTGTGTCATTATTTTACTGTTATTAATGTTGTTTATTATTCATGTTTATTTTATTAAAGTGGATAGCAAGTTTCTAAATAGTGTCAATAATCTTTTCCAATGTTCATCTTTATCGTAGTAGTAAGATGGAAAATAAAAGTAAAGAGCTTGGTACACTGGCGCGGTGGGAGAAAGACACAAACAATATATTTTGTGTCATTCGTCTAAAAGAAATTGAAATGGGCAATATATCTACTACATTCTTTAATAAGGAGGGGTGCAAAAATATTATAAAAAATTTCAAAGAACATACTGACAAAGAGTACGACAGGCTGCAGCTAAAGAACAAATGAGATCTACTTAAAAAAAATTGGAAAATTTGGAAAGATTTAAAAAGAGGATCCAAAGGCTTAGGTTGGGATCCGGTTAAACGAACAATTGACGCTCCAGATGAGTAGTGGACAAAAAGGCTAGTGGTAAGGCGTTTTGCATTCCCTATAATTTATGTTAGATAATTCATTTCCGTAATATGTTTTACATGCTTTTCTTCAGATGGTGCTAGGAGTGAAGAAATTCAAAATTGCTGGTATAAAACGGGAGTTAGAAGAGAAATTGGACCAAATGTTTAGTGGGGTGGTTGCAACAGGAAAATATGCTTGCACTCCAAGCGAGACTGGATTTGGTTGCTCCCCTGAAAATGTTGTTGTTAGTTTATCTGTTGATTCACCCGATTTCCAAAGCCAGGATATTCCTGAAATCCAGTCCACAAATCGTTCGAAACGTGCTCGTGTGATGAGTAAAAAAAGACTAGAGCATCTTCTATCAGGAACCAGATATCATATTTGATGGACTCTTCCAATGATGCCCCTCATAAAATTCAGAAGCTTTCTATTAACAAAATTGTTAAAATCTTAGAAGATAATATTGAGATTGCAGAGGATGTAGATCTCTTCTACTTTGTTGTGGAGTTGCTTCAGGATTCCGTCCAAAGAGATTTCTTCTTTTTTAACTGTAATTGCAAAAGAACGATGGGTGGCGTATCTACGTCATTTCTATGCCAGTAGGTAGAAATGATGACATATATGTTTAGCTTGTTATTTAGAGACAATTTGTGGTCATTGCTTGTTGTTTTAGAACTCCTAATTTGTTTCGAGACAATCTTTTTGAGATGTGTTAGACATTTGAATTTCCCTGGCGACATTTTATTTAGCTTTTTTAAAGACCTTATATTTTATTGCATTATATTTGTTGGCATATTCTGTTTTCTTAGTGCTACTTCAGACATATATACAATATTTGTGTGGTCATTTGGTACGAATTTTAATAAGTCATAATCCCACGTTTGGGGTTACATGTACACTTAACAAGGGCATGGACCCGGAACAAGAACGACATCGAAGGAGAACTACAACAATTAACTTGGTCATAGAATATTACAACACATACATTGCACACTCTCCGTGTTATATATCATCTCATATCGGGGACAAATGGGTAGGAGAAATGCTAACAGAGCATCCAAGAAGATTCAGTAACATGTTCCGCATGACACAAGAAGTCTTTTGAGATTTACTAGCAGAACTGAGTCATGGCCTACATGGGTCATCGAGGACTACTGACCGTGAGATCTTGGCATTGACTTTGTACATATTATCACAAAACGAGTCAATTTGTGTTGCGATGGAACGCTTCCAGCACTCATCAAAAACGATAAGCAGATACTTCTCAGTGGGGTTGAATGCTCTCGTTAGCCCGTCCAAGATTGTCATAAAGTCAATCGATCCAACGTTTTCACACACTCCGTTAAAGATTCGGCACGATGCACAATACATGTCTTACTTCAAAGTAATTCCTTAACTTCATTTTGCTAGTGCTGTTATATCATTTGCTCAGATGACATATTATTTGTTTAGGATTGCATTGGTGCAATAGATGATACACACGTTGACGCACGAGTTGCAAATAATGAGAAGATTGCATTTATTGGTCGCACTGAAACTTCAACCCAGAATATCATGGTCGTCTGTGACTTTAACATGTGTTTTACGTTATTCATGCCTGGCTGGGAGGGTAGCGTGCACGATAGCGAAGTTTTTAAGAGTGACATAAGGAATCCTCACTTCAACTTCCCTCACCCTCCGCCCGATACGTTGCTTACCTACAAACATTTGTTTCTCATTTATATGTTAAAATTAAAGTGGAACACTCTACAAAAAAGTATTATCTGGTGGATGTCGGCTACCCTATACAGCGAGGGTACCTTAAACCCTTCCCTGACACCAGATACCATATACCAAATTTCGAAAGAGCAAGCAATGTTACACGAAATAGGAAGGAGGTGTTCAATAAAAGACATTCATCATTGAGGGGGGGCATCAAGAGGACATTTGGCATTTGGAAAAAAAAAAAAGGTGATATTGCGCGATATGCCAACTTACCCATTTCTCAAACAAGTACAAATTGTTATAGCGACAATGGTGTTGCACAACTTCATTAGGCGACATCCATCTCAATTTGATGTTGACTTCCTCAATGCTGAAGAGAATGAACAGGAAGTCCAAGCTGAAGCTTTTGAATGCCGCATCAGTCAATCTCTCCACCGAGGGGACAACGACCATGCTACCATTTGCATGAAGGAAGGGGAAGGTGCAAATGAAATGCCGTCCATTCGAGAACATATTACAGATGAATTGGTTGGAGGGTGAATATTATTCATATAGTTTTGTACTTCATGATATCACATCTTTTGCACTTCATGATATAAGATTGTAATGATTTTGTTAAGAAAATGAAGAAAATACATCTTAAATGAAGAAAATGAATTAGTTTTACACTTCATGATATCACATCTTTTGTAATGGTTCTTTTAAGAAAATGAAGAAAATTTTTAACTTAAGATTTTAACTTGAAATATAAATTTTGTTATTGAAAGCATTTGGAATATATGCAAATTATTTCATTGTTTTCTTGGCTGTTATTAAAGTTTAGGTGTTTGATATTTCATTTGCTCAGATGACATGTTATTGAAATTATTTCATTGCTTTCTTGCATTTCATCAAGTTTCAGCTCATAGAATAAAAACTAAAACTAATATTTATGCTATGTTCTATGTTGTATCATTATTGCATTGTTTACTGTGATTATTATACTGATTTTAAGAATTAGTAAACTATATGTACAATCGTATGGAATGATTAATAAATCATATAGTTCTTTTTTGAATTTAAAATATCTCTAGTATATTTTATGTTAATTCATTTTATGTATTTTTTACTATAAGGCTTTATTTTACACCATTGTATAAGTAATTTTGTTATGTTTTAACAATGGCTTGTGGAAGTTACGATATATGTTATTAGAATGCTACATAAATAAAATCGCACTGATATTATCTGTGAGTGTAAGAGTAATTCAAAACTATATAAGATCAATCTAAAAGACTTTGAGAACTAAGGCCTTCTAGGTAATTCTGTTACAGAGAAAGTTCTAATGTTTTGAGTTCTGTTTGGAATTGAGGTGTTTGATATTTCAATTTCTTGTTAAGCTGCTAAAAAAAAATCAGTTTTAGGTGCAAAGCTAATTCCATGGGAATCTACTTTTTAGGTGCATTGAGAAAGAATTCATGCATTTACAGGTCTAACACCTAAACTTTCATATCTACATACATATCACTTTGCACAACTCGTAGGGTTGACCAGAAGAGATCATGCTCTCGAAGGTTGTTTGGTGGCAAGAACGAAGTATTTTATTTTTCAATTTCTTGTTAAGCTACTCATTTTAAAATCAGGAAATTGGGACAACATTCATTTGAATCAGCTTTGGATGAAATTTGAGAAGTTGGGCGTATAAATTTTTGTTCAAACCTCATCAAATTTTGCAAATTGGGTGTTTTTTTTTATGTATCCCATG